ATTCCAAGAATACTTCGAAGACACTTATGGCATCCACCTTTTATAGAGAATAAGTTGCGGCTATGGGCTACCTTAATAAAGGGCTCTGAGCGCCAAACTTGTGACAATTGGTTTCCATGAAACGTGACCCAAGCCGCCATTAGACATGCGTGGTAAAATAAACAGGTTTTGGGAGTGGAAAATTATGAATCGTTAAGGTGACTTCTTCCTTTTTCAAGAATAAACTCCTCTTCCTCACCTTGACATATGAGACACGTGGAAGATTCCGGATGATGTTACCAAACTGAAATGTCATCGCCAACAGCGAGTTCACTCCCAGCATTGTCCTGGCCGGAATTGCCTTCGACCCCAAAGCGAACGAGATCCATGCTTAAACGAATGTGTGAGTTATAATTCGCTCGAAAATTAAAAAAAAGGAAGGAAGGAACCAGTGGGATTGCTGAAGTTGGTCTCGTTTGCATTGCTCGCCTACGACTGCTTTTTACTGCATCACGAATAAACAAACAAACAGGAGTTAGAGGAAGTCGCTTGTGTGGTTGCACTACAGCTTACGAATCCTACTTACTATAATACCCAAATAAGCGGCGGGGCTTGTATCCCCCACAAATATGTACCAGTTTGTGGAACATTATTGAAGTCTGTTAAGTTGCAAAAATAAAATATTTAAGATGCTTCCTCATGTGAAAAATTCCTATGGCACGTGTAAGTCGTCCTATTCTCCATGCTTCGATGCCTTTTCTCGTTTTTTCAGTAACAACTCAGACGTCAGCGATTACCGCTGTCCTGGTAACTCCCTTCCACTTCGAATAGATCCAAGCTTAGGACTTGAACACTTCGAGGTGCTGTCTGGACTGTATTGTTGTTCCATTATAATTTTGCCTAGGGTTTTAGGTGGAGGTATCCTTGACCAAAAAGGTTTTAAAAGAGTGGTGGCAAAAGTCCCACCTAGCGCTTTCATGATCAGAGAATCAAATTTCGGAGGGAATTTTAACAGAACAGCGTATAACTTTCTCCTGACAACTTTTTCCTGTTGGTTCTTCTGTGGTTGGGCTCATCCCCGTCGTTGAGCCCTTTCACTGTTTTTATAGCATTGTCAAGCTGAACACACACTAAATGCTTCTTCGAATCTGAATGAAGTTCGGATGCGAGTGTGTCCAACATTATAATCAGTTTATCACTACTCCTCCTATGATTGATTGGCCTCTCTCCGGCTCTCTCTTGCGGCTTCCATACATGTATGGGCACACGCTTTGTGGCCTTCTTCGAAAACACTCTTTCGCATGCGAAAGCTACAGAACGCCGCGATGATCACTATGACAGTTAGGTAAGGGTTGCGCCAAGCATTCAACTCCTATTCGAGGCATTTTAGATATCCAGCAAACCCTGATCTATATATTCCTATAGCTATAGGCTATAGCCTACATATTGGTGCTAAATACTGAGTTAGAAGTGTGGAGTCAACTAGTTCATTCTGGACTAGGACAAGTTTTGGTGGTTTTGAGCAAGATTCAAGGGCTCGGCTTATGAAACGGCGCCTATTGCCGCTGCACTATCGCTCTGCACTTCAACAACACTTTGAAGCACACAAGAAACGATGAGGAGTTGTGTTCCAAGTTTTGCTTGCTTCGACATGCAGGCCAAAATAGTCCCAAGCGCAATGACAGGGGTTGAGCTTTCCCCGGCTGAATGTGAATAATTCGTTGTTGAAACGCCGGCTATTCAACTTTTGCGGCTCCTGCTTTCCTTTTTCAGACTTTATAACTAGACGGCTGGTGGAAAATTCAAGGCTTTGGAGTCGATGTTTTGAAATACAAGTGTGAAGAATGGAAAAACGGCGTGGAAAATCTGTCTCGAGAGAGAGCGCTGAATTCATTCAACGCTAAACTTGATCAGGATCCAAGTTTCAAACAAAGCATGAATGTGACAGTCGCACGTGTTTTGCGAGGAGAAGTAGGGTTTTCACATGGATAAGTGTGGTGTCCGAAAGGCGCGTCTTTCGGAAGATTTTGTATTATATCGGGATTGTTAGGCTTAGATCCGACAAAGTGAATTTTCCTAGGCGAGAAATCCCATGAATGACTGTTTGCAATAAGTGGCAAGTTGAGCCATTGAATTTTTGTTATTTCTGACCTGTCGCAGTGAGCGATGTGAGACGTTTTAGAATTGCTCCCTGGACAACTGAGCTGTTGTTAAGAGCTGGTGGCTCAGAGTAATTACTTAAAAAGCCTTAGGGCTGAGTAACCAAATCGTTACGTACTATCTGGACGTTTTC